CCCCAAAACCCCAAAACCCCAAAACCCCAAAGGAAAAAATATTTATAAAGCAAGCTGACTGCAAAATAAATAACATAAACTTATATAATTTAAGGCGGGATTTAGTAATGAAACACAACATAAAACTTAAGTACGATTGGCAAGACAAGGAAGGTGAAATACTTCTATTATAGAATCTAATTAAATCTGTAATTTTTATTATTGATCAACCCACATTAAGAGAAGCAATTTATTTGTATACGGACCTCATGGATCAGGCAAAACTACATTCGTTTAGGATTGTCTAAGCTCACTACGACCATAGAGTATCTACAATATCTATATTGATTGTGTTGAATTTTACTCTGAAAAATTGATCTCAACTTGTCTATCCTAGCAGCTTAATCATCTACTCAGCTAGATTGCTAAGATTAATAATCTCTCAAAACAGCAATCTAGGAAGTGGACATTTAAATCATGCAGGAGTTTTCCACAGTTTTTGGATTACTTGCAAGTATTTGCATCATAACTTCAAAGTGATAAAGAAGCATTTAACAATCAGTTCGACTTTTTCTTCTATATTGTTCTAGACAACATTTCTAATTTGCTTCAGATAGAAAGAACTAAAAAGCTACTTACTAAATTATGCATTGCTTAGAGTCTTACCATGCCTTAATGCTTCTCATTGATTGTTATCAATAACTCTTTAGTGCAAGAAATAGAGATGCTTAAAGACTAATAAGGAATATTTGAAGAGTATATGTTCACAGCGTTCTTCTTCTAACCACTTAGTGATTAACAGATTCAGAAAATAGTCCTAGAGAGAATGAGAAAACAACATGGTCATGAGTTCTATCTTGAAGTAGCATTTGGAAAGATGTTTGACCAATTGTTCTAAGAAATAAAATCATATACAAACAATCTCAATGAATACGAATATTTTTTCAAATTACTCTATCCTAAATATACTGAGAAAATCTCATTAGCTCCTAGTGATGAAGATAAGTTACTAATGCTCTCGAGACCTTTGTCCAATAGAGCGTTCTTAGAAAGTGTTAAAGTAGTGATGTCTTCTTTATTCATGCATTTAGACAAACTTGAGGACATTCAAAATGAGTTGAATTAAGAAGATGAATAAAGGTTTTAGAAAGGTAATTTATATATTAACCTCAATTTTTATAGATGTTGAGATGAACAAAAATTCTACGATGCATACACAGATAATAGTTGGTCAATAGTTACTGCAATAAAAAGTTTTTGATTGCAAATAAATAAATTAACTTGAGAATTTCAAGAAGAACATAAATTTCAGCTTCATGCAATCAATGTGCCTTATAGCTGCTTATCTCGCAGGAAAGAATAAGGAGTATTTAGATCAGAGAATGTTTGGAAGAGGATCAAACGCTAAACTTAGAAGAATAGGACCAGGGAAGACTGAAGCTAAAAATCAGCCTAATCAAATGCTGTTAGGTAAAACTAAAAAATTTCAGTATGAGAGGTTTGCAAGCATAATAGATTATTTACTATCGCTAGATGTGCATGAATGCAACGAGGTTAAGTCTAATATCGGAAGATCAATTGATTTTACTGCATGTGTAAGCTTTCCTTTTTCTAATTACAATTTATTCAGATTAATTCAATGGTAGATGAAGGGTTACTCAAGAAAAGCTCTATTAAAAAAAGTGCCTCTGGTGGAGGTGATGGGGGTGACGAATTAGTAACAGTTGCTTTCAAATGCAATTTTGATAAAAATTTCATTTAAGATGTTGCCTAAAAGATTGATTTCCCTCTAGAGGATTATGATTATGAAGATAGTAAATAACAATGCAGTTGAAGTTTCAATGAGAGATTTTCTGATACCAAATCTAATATTAATTTCTTTAAATGCTAAAATTTAATCAAGACTCTTGTTTATGGGGTTTTGGGGTTTTGGGGTTTTGGGG